TACATCATTAGACCTACACAGCTTTTTGTTGAAGCGAGAGTACATCATTAGACCTACACAGCTTTTTGTTGAAGCGAGAGTACATCATTAGAGCTACTAACAGCCGTCCCCGTGTGGGATGCAAATTTTCGTTATTAAAAGCCCTACTCTAGCTTTTGCCGGGGGCCATAAATATAACCGGGCCTCAACTGTGGCCTAATGTCTAAACGAGATTTTTGGGATCTCTTCACTGGTGATCCGCATGGTGGCACTTTATGTCACGGGGTGTTTATCGCTTGTGTGATGTTCTGGTGGGGTACAATTAACATACAATTATACATCATTAGACCCATCAATAGTTTCTTTTGAAACAAGAGGATATCATTAGACCCATCCATGGTTTCCTTGAAGCAAGAAATAATCACTAGACCCATCCATGGTTTCCACTGAAACAAGAGGATGTAATTAGACCCATCCATGGTTTCCTTGAAGCAAGAAATCATCATTAGACCCATCCATGGTTTCATTTGAAGCAAGAGGTAGGCTACTTTTTTTTCGATTTCCAACTGCCAAGTGATTTTTTACGTGCGCTACAATGCACACGGGCGTTCGATCTCACTGCCCAGAGATCAGAGGAAATTACTAGAAGTCTGTCCACGTGAAAAAATCCTAGCCCTAACCGGGGATTGAACCCAGAACCTCTAGCACTCGAGGCGGACACCATGCCTCGAGACCACGCAGCTCCCCTACGCGTACAGTGGCCTAATACAACTTAGATCAGGAGCAGGCCATATATATTTTGCTAAAGATATACTGGTGTCCGCTAGTTGCTCTGGGTGGTGAGCTACTTTACGATAGGGTGGACGTGGTGAGGGTTCTTTGAGATCAATTGGACAGTGTAACAAAACAGCAGAGTATTCATACCACAAAAAACCTCTTTAACATGGAGTAGCCAGAGGATCTTGGCGGTTTTCAAAGCGCAGGTGAAAGCACAGGCGGACTTTTAATCTGGTTGCAACTGGCACCAACTTTAACGGAACCTTTCGTTGGCTACTGAAGAAGGGGACAGAGCAGGTGTGGGAATGTTGCGAGTGAAGTTATGTTAATACTTGATTCATTCCTTAATCGTTCATAGTGATATGATGAACTGTCACAGCCGCATTTATCTGTTTTACTACTCTTTAGGGCAGTCTAGACGGGTGAGGGGGGAGGGCTTGGTTCTCCTTAAAACTACGGCCACTTATTATGGAGCACGCCGGAGTTCAGTCCCCTGGCCGCATTGCAATTACGGAGTGGACAAGAGGGAACGACACAAATGACGTAATTACTTTGTGTTTGCGATAGATGCACTGCTGTCATATTAGTGTTAGGGTTAGGGTTTGGGTTAGGGTTAGGGTTAGGGTTAGGGGTAGGGGTAGGGGTAGGGTTAGGGTTAGGGGTAGATTTAGGGTTAGGGTTAGGGTTAGGGTTAGTGGCCGTAGTTTTAACCCTATTATGACAGCAAGCAAACACAAATATAAGTTGGCCATTGATCCCTTTAAGGAATGTGTCCATAAGATTAAAGCTTCATGGATTAGAATCAAACAACAGCTTCTTCTTCTTCTTCTTCTTCTTCTTCTTCTTCTTCTTAGTGTTCACCGGCTTTAAAGTCCAGCCGAAAGCTCTGGGTGTTCGTTTCTCTAAAAACTTCATTCTTTTTCCAGAACCTGAGTGCTGCATGCACATTCGTTTCACAGAGCTGGCTTATTTGTATGCATATTTGTGGTTCCTTGCCTCTCATGTAGATGCACTCCGACTTTGATGGATAACCCTAACTAGTTTACTCATACGACCTGCTTGTTGGGGAGGCAATAAGTCTATTCTTATTTTCCTCACAATGGGAACCCGGAACACACACGAGGAAATACGGCAGGAAATCCAGAAAAAGCCGTTTACCGTTCAGTCTTTTCCTTTGAGCCTAGGCCGGCGAATATGGCAGAGGGAGCTATCTCTTTCTGTCTGGCAGTTCGCGAAACCTGTTATAGGTCTTGGGTGTTTATTAGGCCCATGGTTGAGCCTTCTCTGAACATGATTCTACGCAGGGTCTCTTTTGTCTTCACCGTTTTCTTTTCCCTTTCGCTGTCCATATGAAGGAGTCTTGTCTTATAAACTTGCACAGTTGTATTAGTGTATTAGGCCACCTAATGGGTTACTGCAGTCCAATGTGGTATGGGAGGCAGTATGAACAAGAATATTAAAAAAAAAGTAAAGGACTCTTTTCGACCCCCTTAGATGTATTGGCAAATAAGACTAGACCTATATTTTATAGGCTGACTGGCACTGGGTGTGTGATGTGGTCAACATCATGCCGGTCGCTTTTACTTCCCAGGACTGCACCTGGTACCCACTCAAGACTGGGTCGACCTGGGAGCCACAGTCATCTTTGAAAAAAAGGCCCGGTTCCGTCAGGACCCGAACCCTCGACCTTCCGATCTGCAGGCGAGCGTAATCCACTAGAATGTACGCCAGTGTCAATCGTAAACAGTAAAAGAGAATAGTCACGCCTTGGTAAGTGGCTAAGGATATAGAATGACAAAGGCAATGATTTGTTCAATCTTTAGAACTAATTTCACAGGGTTTGGCACGAGCTTCCATTACAGGAAAACTGACATGTTGCTAACGCCATTACATAAATACCTCTAGCTGTGCTTACACGTATTCTTTAACGGTGGGGAAGATGAGTTTGGGGGGGGGGGGGGGGGTGGTATAGACACGCATCGAACTGCCTTTGCTTACTTGCTGTACCCCACCAGGACATCGCACAGAGCGATAAACACCAGGTGACACAAAGTGCCACTATGCGGATGAGGATCACCGGTGGAGAGGTCCCAGAAACCCCTTTCAGCCGTATGGCCATATCTATGGCTAGGCCATATTTATGGCCCGTCTATACTTGGGGTTCCGGTAAAAGCAAAGGTGGGGCTTCAAATAACGAAAAAAAAATTGCATTGCAAATGGTGACGACATTATTTATAAACTTCCGGGAGGTATGCCAAATACAGTTAGCTGCCAGAGCTTGAAATATTATTTTAAAGTTCTCATTTCTTAACTATTTCTATTTTAATAATTTCGCCAGGTGATGATTTTTCAATCCTTCGGAGAGGGAGATATGACTGCGTCGAGGGTTGGGGGGGGGGGGGGGGGTATGACAGACACTGTTAGCTGAGAGCTATTTTCTTTCCTCTTGATTTCACCATTCTGGGCCACAGCAACGCTTGGCCGGGTACAGCTAGTATTTAATAAGATCTACTATTTTATGCGAAAAAAATTGTGGTTGGTGGTAGTACATAAACAACCTACGTTATGCTGTTGACACCGTCTTGATAGCGACAAGTCAGAAAGAACTACAGGAAATAATAGATCCTGTGGTGGTAGAAAGTTATAAAATGGGCCTCAGTTTGAATAATGGGAAGACTGTCGTAATGGTGATTTTCAGGAAAAGTACAGTGCATAAAGTTATAATAAAATCCCAAGGCGTTATTTTGGGACAAGTACAGAAATTTAGGTATCTAGTCACAAAAAAGAACACCCAAGGAAGATGTACCTCATAGATAAATATCAGAATATGGTAGTGAAAAATTGTATTTGATAAAACTAAGACAGTTAACCAACAAATTCATGTCATTGGAGATTAGGAAAAGAATTCTTGCATGCTATGTAGAGCCAGTTTAACATACGGCTGTGAACCTGGACAATTAATAACACAATCTTGAGGTGGTGTGACGTTACAGCAGAATCATTAGAAATCCTTGGGTAGTCAAAAAGAATAACCCAGATATTTAGAAGGGGGAAAAAAATACAAATTATCACAAACATCAGAAAGAGACAGTGATCATTTTGTATTGTTGGTCGTGTTATCTGAAAAGGGAAACCGGGACTTGTTGTGATCACTGGACAGATGTAGGGAAATGAGAGACACACGAAGGCAGCGGCAGAAGATTGTAGACAGTCTTTCGTCATGGCAGGGAGAGGGGTTTCAGCACACGAACTGATAAACGCAGTTGCGGATCACAAATTAGGGAGGGGCAAGATCGCCTACGCCAGTCGGTAAGGCACTAGAAGATGAACTGTCGAGGTTTCCTGTAAATAAAAGTAAAGAACTCTTTTCCATGCCTTTAGGCGTAATGAAAATATTTTAGCTAGATCTACATTTTATAGACCAAACAGCACTGGACGCCGGCCACCTTTACTTCACATGACCATACCTGGTACACACTCAAGGTTGGGCCGTCCTGGAAGCCAAAGTGATTTTGGAAACAAAAAAGTTATGCCCTATGATTTCTAATGAATTATTTAATTTAAAATGTGTCTGAAGTAGTGAATGGGGCAGAACTGAAGTACAAATGTATTAAATTATTCCTTGTACTTCTGTGTCCAGTGTGACGGACAGACAGAGGATCTGCTGAATCTTGGCACATTGTTTGTTTCTGTCCACGTTTGACTGACTCAGTGACTCATTCTAATCTTTTCTAGACTTAGGGATCATGATTTTATTGTTTGCTACTGGGCTAACCGCTTGATGCAACACTGTGAGCTATATATAACATTGAATTACTCTAATCTACGCCTGCGGAGGTTTCTTTTATGGACTGGACTGCACGTGAAGATAAAATGACGGATGGTTAGTTTTCTAACTGCCTTACCATGTGCTTTATGTAGTATTTCCGGTGTAACTGCCTGTTTGGCTTGGTTGACTGTTTTAACCGATGACGAATCAAGTTCTAGAGGCGCACTGTTAGTGTTAGCACCTCTAGGCGCTGTCTAGGGCATTTAATATTGTGCGAATTTCTGAAGTTTTACCTTTGATGGCCATTTTTAATAGCTTTCAAATGGAGCAGTGAATAACTGTGATTTTCACTGGCACAGTAACGGGTCAACATGGAATGTAACAAGTTTGCCGAGAAGTTGTTAAAATGTTTACCATTTTTAATGTGTTTTGGGTCAAAACAGGTCCTTTAAGTTCAAACACCGGCGGGGAAGTCATGGCATTTAGAAGTACAACCAACGAAACAAAAGACAAGGACTGGCCTGATCTGCAGCTTATCTTTAATATCTACAAGCCCTCTGTTAACGGCATGTACATTTTTAACTATGCAGAAAAGGAGACATTTCAAAACTACTGGTGACCTACTTCCAACCGCGCCCTTATTACCACATGTTTGTGTGCTTGTTTATTAATCGCTAAAAGATGTTTCCGGATTTAACGACTTCATGACTAGAGATCTTTTTATAGTCAATGCTGCGTGTCGTCAATAGTCATGCCGTTGACTACTTTCTGTCATGCGAACTGTTAGTCGTTTCTGATACAGGTGTTCTTTGTCTTTACGTCAAACTGTTTAACTCTTTGAGGCCCAAGCAACGGTTTGAGCGTTGTCTGAGAAGTTCCGTTTTTATAAAGGGAAATTAATGTGGGCCAAGTCTGTAAAAATTAATGGGCTTGAAAAAGTCTTCCTTGGCCTTCATTTCCTTGTCCTAGTTAAAAGTACTTCAGTTTTTCTCTTCTCGTGAAGTCCTACAAAATGTATATAGCTTCCTCAGAAGAGGGTCATTACATCTTTTCGTGAGTTACTTTTTTCCAGATATTTAAATTAATCTTCGTGCAAGTGTAAGGTTTCCTCATAATTGCTCTACAAAACAAAACTTCTGCAGGTTCCGCATTATGTCTTGTTATCAGTAAACGGCCAATTGTTCATGATTCACTTCTGCACATCGGGGTAAACTATATAGCCCCAAAGAATTCTTCTGCTCGCCTTTAATGACCAAGAAAGAATGCACAAAACATTCTTTATCCCGTGAAATGCGGCATTTACTTGAACTTTTCTATGTTTAACCATTTTTTAAAAAAATATTTGATAATCTGTTGTCAGGATACCTGTCTTTAAATGTACAGAACCGCTCCAAACGCATAGTTACTGATAGTTATGTATTAATAGCAGGAAACCTAACATTTGCATGACTAAATGGCAATAAATATTAATTTCAAATGTAGTCACCATAAGCGTCACGTGTCAAAACGCTCTCAAAACTAATCTTTATAACATTTGACAATAATGATAATGAGGTTTAATTACTAGTCTTTCATCAAGTATGGTCACTGTCAACAAGGAAAGCAACAGCAAAGTAAGATTCTGATCCAGCAAGCCAAAGAGATAAATATTTTGATGGCCTGGTCACAGTGATTGGGAAAGTACAATGACTTTATTGTATTTCTGATGACCTTATGGAATGAGAAACGACAACAGCTTACGTTCATCGCCCTAGAAGTTATGCCGAGTAAAGAACTGGCATTACAGCAATCGGGTCAGTCCCAGAAACCAAACCCTTCGGTTCCACCTGCAAAATGCATTGACTAGAGTGATGAAATGTGTTCATGAAACCTTTAATTCCATCATTAGAATGTTTTTTTTTTTTAAATTAACATAGTACTGCTTTGTAAAATGATTTACACAGTTTAAAAAAATAGTTTTAGTCTGTCACTCTATTTAAGATTTGAGTTTATACATGAATGAATGAACTAATGATTGAATAAATTAGTTGATATCGCCGCTCTATCTATGTTCTATGGATGCCCCCCCCCCCCCCCCCCACGAAGAATCCCCATGCTAAAAGTGTTTGCAACAACCTGTTTAAGTCTTCCATTCTTCACCCAAAGTAAACTTTTTAGTGCTTGTTAACTACCAATATTTGTTGCATATGTTAAAACAGTAATAATTAGATTGCTTTTAAATTATACACATTTCGGAAATAATGTGTTTTGTCGTATTTACATTCATTGCTTCTATTCTATGAGGAATAATGTATAATTGTAGACAATGGCTGAATTAGCTGACAGGAGCAGGGGCGACTATGGCTTTAGCTGTTTTCCTATACTGCTGAGACCAGAAAGCCGAGGGAACATCACTTTAACATCCCGCGATCCTTTTGACTACCCCATCATCCAAGCTAATTACCTGGACAAGCAGGAGGATATAGAAACCTTAATAAGAGGTAACTAATTTATAATGAAGATAATATTGCTGTATCTTTCAATTGCCCGTCTTTGTTGATTGTCTTCTTCTTCCGCCTTTCTATCCCCAAATGGAGCATAGGCCCTCAACCAACTTGCGCCAAGTCATTCTATCCTTCGCCATTGCATGGAGCTCTCCCCATGTCCTCCCCATTGTTATAACTTCATTCTCCAGCTCTCTTCTCCTTGTGTTTTTTGGCCTTCCTTTATTCCTATGCCCCTGTGGGTTCCAATGCAAAGACATTCTAGTTATGCTGTTCTCCTGTTTTCTCAGTGTGTGTCCAGTCCAGCGCCAGAGTCTTTTCCTCATCTCTTGTTGCACTGGAGCCTGCTTAGTTCTCTCCCAAAACTCTACATTAGTTTTTCAATCATACCATTTAATTCCCTCTAATTGATTGTAGTTGTGCAATAATCTTACTGTTTGCAGCGTGTTTATTCATTTGTGTACTAATACACTCACCTTCTTACTAAGCCACATATTAGTCAGTTTATTTGTCGAGGTTATCTTGTGTAAACTGTGACACGTGCACTACTAAATTTGTTCTTTTAAACCCCCGGAATAGCTCAACTGCTGCCTATTCCGCAGAAGTAAAGACAAGCAGTACTGGCAGTTTTTAAACATGATAGTTTTCAATGAAGACATTATTTTAGGTATAGGTAAACAGTAAATGCCTGTATGATCCAATATGTTCACAGGTATCCAGGAATGTCAAAAGATTGCAAACTCTAAACCATTGCAAGACATCGGCTCTGAGTTCACAGAGAACGGAACTGAATCAGCTTGCAGGAAACACACATACAACAGTCACGAGTACTGGGAATGCATGATCAAACACAGGCCAGTTTCTGTCTACCACCCAGTTGGAACGTGTAAAATGGGCCCTAGTGGAGACCCAACAGCCGTGGTGGACTCAGATTTGAGGTATGCTTGTAATGTAATGAGTTGTGCAGAAGAAACTACTGTACTTGTGCACACATTAGGACTGTCAGTTAGTTGCAGAACCAGCCCCATCGTTTTTGGCTGTTGTGGTTTTCCTAGGCAAGTTTACGTCCAGTAGTTTGCCATTGCTTTCTGGACGGTCAACTTCTCGATACCACTGTCGAAACCAACACAAGCCGGAAGGCCCGCAGCTGGGATCGAACCCGGCACCCCGGCATAATAAAGCGCGTTCGTAAGGCCTAACCCACAGACGCCGACCATTAGGATTGTACATGTTCAAAAAATGACACAAGAATCGAATTTTGGTAGTCAGAAATATTATAAGAACTGCTGAATTTGTACTCTAATTAAGAATGACATGTGTTGACATTTGGCAACTTTACCATTATAGTAGAGACATAAAAGCACAACACTACATGTACATTATCAGAAATTGGATTAGAACTGTCGTGCATGAACACCCGGATACTAACTGCACTTGTTGATACATTGGAACATTGTAGTCATCATAACCATTATTTCTATCAAAGTGTTGTAGACCCAGCAGTATGAAACTGACTTTCGTAGTCAGAAATAGGACAAGTACAGTTGAACGTGTACACAACTTAACCAACAATTAATTTACTTTGCTGAAAAATTTGATGCTAAAATACTATTATTAACTATCAGCAGATCGTTTAGAGAACGTCACTCTCGTCACAGCCCACCTTACAGACTCTATGTCTCTACCATTTCTCCAGCCCGGTTTGCTTAATAACTACTATAATTGTTCACACATTAGATTACAAATCATTATTATGTTAGTTGCGCATGTTGTTGCGGGACGCTGCAGAACCAACCGCATCAATTTGGTTGTTTATGTTTTTTAAAAAAATGACATTTTACGTTTAGTATTTTGACATTGTTGTCTTGATAATCAACTGTCGAATCATGTGCAGTTGGATTTAAACCGGGCGTCTCGGAATTACAAATTGCTTTCCCAAAGCCATGTCACAAACAGAAACAATTATGTTTGTTCAAATCAGACTAGGACTGTTGTTGGTAGATACTAATGGCAAAGATGACGCATCATCCAGTGAGATGAAAGGACTGTGAGTACGAAGCCAATGCGAGCCGTGAAAGTTCATGCCCAACATGACCAGTAGATGGTAGACATACAAGAAGAGAGGTTGGCCTACTGAGTACTCTAAGTGTCTCTTGTTAGAAATGCACAGTCTGTCGTCTCGTTTGTCCCTCTAACCAGATATACATCTACGTCGTCTACATGTATTTGGAGTAGCTTACCATTCTCCTGTAATGTTCCGAGGGATTTAAGATCACATTAACTGAGTATTGTTTTAGTTTTAGTTTCAGACTACCAAGCAATCTTTTACCCCCCCCCCAAGTTTCCCATGTCAAGTTTCACTATAGTCTTTTCTTGAGTCACTGATGTGATTATTTTCAGGCTACTACTTCACCAGCCCATTGAATCTAATGTATCATCAGAATCGTGTGAAAAGTTTGCGGGCCCGTCATATCCAGAAGATACCGTAAATGTTCACAAACAGGATTAGCTTTCCTAAGAAAAGAAAGCGTTGCGTTGTGCTGTATTCTCACACATATTAAGTCAGCATTTACACACACAAATGTTTGTGTGTTTTTGTGTGTGTGTGTATATATATAACATACAGTGCAATACATTCATTTTTTTATGTATACCAATATATTTTGCAGATTACACATACTTACAACACCTTTCCGTCAACAGGGTTTTAATAACATATTTAATAAATGTGTTAACACTTTTTCGAACAACAGGTTTTTTTTTCTCTTGTATGGTCAGGGGTCTGAATCGTCGCCTTAAAGGCTGAAATTTACTTACGTGGATCTTTAGTAATTTACCCTGGTCTCTCGGCAGTAAGATCGAATGCCCACGTGTAATTTTTGCGCACGTTTAAAAAAAAATCCCTAAGCAGTTGATAATCGAAAAGAGTAGCCTAACAGCGCTGTCTGGAAAAAAAAAATGGAGTGAAAAAAATACCCAAAGTAGTTCAGGATCCTCGTCGGTGTTACGGAGTTCATATACTACGCTAAGTTTCTTCGGACTCAGGCTTGGGTTAAAAGTAGAACGTAGCACTTATGGGTTCTATCCTTGTGCCATGATGTTGATCAGATGTTCAAACCATCAAACCTGTTGTGTGACATTCAAAATAAAATGAGTCACATGGCAGAGGTTGCGACTGGGATGTGAGAGTACGGCCTATATATTGTAAGCTATGGCATTTGAGGTGGCGTAGTCATTTTCTTTTCCTTGTGGCCTTTTCTTCAAAGAACATTCACCAAAGTGATTCATTAGAAGAAAATGTTTACTTGTTGACCACCTTTCACAGACAAACACTTCTCCGTGTGTCTATTTTTTACATTTAGCAGAATAATCCTCTGACGCATCCTCCTAAACCATACAATTTATTGTGTAGAATAAAACCTTTCAGTTTTGTCTTTATCATCTCTTTGTGGGATGCAATTTGTCGTTATCTGAAGCCCTACTCTGGCTCTTGCCAGGGGCCGCAATATAGACCGGCCATACGTATGGTCTAATAGCTGAACGCGGTTTCTGGCGACGGACGAGATAAAGCAATGCTTGGCCTCCAGATGCAGCGATAACGACAGATGCCTCAATACAATTTTTTTATCCCCCCCCCTCGCCTCCCCCACTCACTTTAAGATAACAATTTTACATTAATTCTATTTCATACATTGTTGTGAAACAAGATCTGTTCTCCTAGAAAAAAAAAATCAAATAATAAATCAAGAATTGACATAATTTCTCTCTGGACATTCCCGCACCTGGCCCGTGTTTTTCCTCGGTAGCCAATGAAGAGTTTCAATATTGATGGTGCCAGTTGAAACTTGATTAAAAGTTCACTTAGTCGTTGCCACACCGCCTCCACCAGGGAGCAAATAAAATGTCGTCCAGACCCACTGTGCACTTCCAGCTAAACAATTCATTCTAGGAACTGAAATTTTGTCTGTTCTGTTGCACTGTTTATGTGATCACAGAGACACGTCTTTGAAAAGTCTGCTTTTTCGTAGAGTGATCCATTCACTATGGGGACTGTAGATACTAATCAATCGGTCACTCCGCCACCCCCTCCCACACATATACACAAAAACACATTTACATACGCACACATACACACACACCTGACTGCCTGTGAAGAAACACCAAACAGTAATAGGTAAGCCATTTTGCAAATGTTTTACTATTTCTAAATATTTTTCTGATTATAATCAAATAATGCTGATATCTAGAGATTCAAATATGCTTTCTGTTCGGCGGATTCATATTCTGCTTTTTGTTTTCAGGGTACACGGAATAACCGGACTTCGTGTGGCCGACGCTTCCATTATGCCATGGCTGGTCTCTGCTAACACAAACGCCCCAACAATTATGATTGGCGAAATGGCTGCTGACTTGATTAAAGGTGGCTAGCTGTCACCAAGAAACACGTAGCCATATTTCAGAATACGGCTTTCATTGTAGACAGTAATTATGTAGTAGCGTATCTTCAGCTGAAAATATGAGACGTGAATAGCAGTGCAGTGCATCAGCTGACAACATTTGCAATGAAAATAAAAGATATTATTACACTTCTATCTCAATCTGATCAACTTCAATAATCAGTTACGTATATTGTTGGTAATGTGAAGAAGGTACATATAAGCATGTATTTGAGGTAGACGAATATGATAGGATCACTGTTGCATCATATCATCATCATCAGTTCTTGGTATGCCTAGTGGTACATATGGCTTCAGAGAGGACTTTCCATGCTTTCCTGTTCTGCGCAATCTTCAGTGCAGTTTTCCATGTCAGAGATGCGGCACTCAGGTCACTTTCCATCGTTCGTCTCCATGTTGTTTTTGGGCGCTACCCCTTTTTTTTCTCTTTTCCTCTGGTATTCATGTTAGAGCTGTTTTTGGCAGGTATATAAGGATTCATTCTCATAACGTGGCCAAGCCATTTCCATCTTCTCTTGGTTATCATACTGTCTAGAGTTTCTTGGTTAGTGACTTGAAGTAGTTTAGTGTTTGAGATTGTATCTGTTCATTATATGCATTGGTAAAATAAAATATGGCAACACACACACACACACACACACACACACACACACACACACACAACTATTTTTACAGCATTAAGAACATCTAATGAGATTTCTTTTTATTATCAGTTAACAGAAAGGATTTTTACATGAAGACAGAAGTAATTGAAACATATGATTGTAATTTTGCATAGTTGATAATTAAGCTAACAATACGCATTATAGTTAAATAACAATGGTTTCCTAGAACAATGTTGAAAATTCCACTACAATGATGGTGGTGCTTTGCAGTGTTGACGCTATCATAGGAGACAAACCCAAATCCTGTCCCGACCGGCAACGAAGTCCTCCTCAGGAGCCAATGGATGACCCGACATTTACGCAAACAGAAAACACGACATTAACTAAAGACCCGTTTGAAAAGTTTCAATAAGAAAAAAGTCAACACCAATTACTGACAGAAAATCTAACGAAAACAATTCATTTCTGTATTAACTACAATTAATGACAGACAATCCAATGATAACAATTAATTTTTGCATTAACCACAATTACTCACAGAAAATCTAATGATAACAATTCCTTTCTGTATTAACCATAATTAATGACAAAAAAATCCAATGATAACAATTCATTTCTGTATTAACCACAATTACTGACAGAAAATTCCATGACAGCAATTCATTTCTGTATGAAGCACCATTACTGACAGAAAATCCAATGATAACAAATTATTTCTGCATTTACCACAATTATTGACAGAAAATCACAACTCAGTGTTCGGGACATCACTTACTGTAATAAAATCGTGAAAATATGGGGTGACTGCAGTCAAGCTTATAAAGGAATTCCAGAGAAATGTGACTAAAAAGCTCAACAAAATGGGGAAGTAGAAAAACGTGAAAACATTACAACGTAACGTTTCGGCCGGGCAGCCTTTTTCAAACATAAGCGAACTACACAAACGTAACAACTAGGAGAGGAGAGTATGTAGATCTCTAAGGAGTGACGTGAGCAACGTTTAAAAAAAAATACGTTTTTCTGCTTCCCCATTTTGTTGAGCTTTTTAGTCAAATTTCTCTGGAATTCCATGTTATAAAATCGAAAAATAAGAACCACATAATAAAAAAAATGCAGAACCGCCGTCAAGGATATCTGATGGATCAAAGTCAAAGAATCCCAAACGATAAACACTTCAGTCAACACGCGCCGGGTAAAACCCATCATGTAAGGAAATAGTGATATATATGTATACAATATAAATGTTTCTGCTTATTTGCGTTTCTTTATACTGTATGAGGCAACATTACCAAAACAGTTCCCACATTAGAACTACTGACTAATGGAATGGAATTAATGAAACTAAATGTACTTAACTATTCTTAAGCAGATATTAAAATGTAAAATGAGACGAAAACCTACATATGTTATGAGATATGAAAGATTTGCGTTACGATTATTGTGTTTGAGAGTCACACCTGAGAAGGAGGGAGGCATTTACGTGCTTCGGTTAAAAAGTGTGAAGATCGGAAAGGGTTTTAAATGATATGATTGGGCAAAGGAAAAAAGGTGAATGATGTGGAAAAAGGGGATTGGGGGAATTCTGTAGAAAAAAAAAAGAGAAAAAAAAAAAAAGATAACACGGCAAGTATGAATTCTGGAGTTAAGAAACGATATAGGCATTAGGCGGTAACCTTCAACAGTGGTAGTAGTGAAATCAGGATTGCTAAATAAAAATGTGGAAATGAGTGCAGAGAAGTTTCGTAAGGAATATGGCATGTCTTCTCCTGCCTTTCTATCCCCCAATGGAGCATAGGCCCTCAACCAACTTACGCCAAGTCATTCTATCCTTCGCCATTGCATGGAGCTCTCCCCATGTCCTCCCCATCTTTCTAACTTCATTCTCCAGCTCTTTTCTCCATGTGTTTTTTAGCCTTCCTTTATTCCTATGCCCCTATGGGTTCCAATGCAAAGACATTCTAGTTATGCTGTTCTCCTGCTTTAATCAGTGTTTCCTATCCAAACGTCACCCCAGCGTCTGTTTAGCTCACCTCACCTCTTGGTCCAGCTGTGAGAAACTATATCCTTCCAGTCTACAAATGCTGTTTAGTTCTCTCCCAAAGTTCTACATTAGTTATTCTATCATACCATTTAATTCCCTCTATTCTGCGCAGGCACCAGTTAATGAATGTCTGTCATTTATTAGTAATTGAATATGGCATGTAGAAGTAAGAAACTATGCTCCGTAATAATATTACGGTACAGCCATAATATGATTTTGATTCAGCTCGATGGTACAATCTCTGTTACACACGCGTGCGCACACAAACACACATACATACAGAATCGCTCACATACGCACATACATTGTCCACATGCAACCATTAAGACTATTGCGTGGCCTAATTGAACTCGAACTCTGTAAATAATAAAGAGAATTTGTATAAGTTGTAACAATATCTTAAACAAATATGGATCTGTAAAATATGGGGAAAAATATGTGAAGAGAAAGGCTATATTAAATTGCGCCTGGTAAAAATGATGACAAAGAGCAAAAGAAAGACAGGGAGATACATACCTGAGAGATTTGCCAATTTACATGATTGAGGCAATATGCTAAGCGCCATATAAGAATACGGTGACAGAGTGTAATGACAAGCTATAATCGTCCATGCTACCTGACATGGCACACGATAATCATATGCTAGCGTATAGTTTTTAGTACCGGCTGTTAAATAGAGTAGGAATGTTGCCAAAAAAAACGTATTTACCACCATCATGTGTCATGACGGGAAGCTCAAGCTGTCATGATTCGCCCTTCTATACGATGACAAGAATCACCGACCACGTCGTGTTCTTGTCCTGCCCGATCCATTGAGCCAGGCCAACAGTGTCATATCTCTGTGCCTTTCTCCACATCTCTTTCTCTATGGATCTTGCCAGTATTCAGCAAAGTCTCGAGTTTATATTTTCTAATAAACTTCAACAAAATATTGCTTTTCTAAATTATCTTATCATTTTACGGCTGTCGTTTGCTTCGATTGGGACAACCTGAGCTGCTAAACATTTATTGTGTGGTATTCTCTACATTTTTTTAAAATCAATATTCACTTTTCTGCTTTTGAGCAGTTTCTTTGCTTACTATCGGTGTCTTGTGTGCATATAACAACACAGGCAGGTTCTGTTCAGCCCTTAAACACTTTTATTTTTATTTTTCTCAGTCATTTGACTTCTTTTAGATGCTCTGGTCTAGATCTTGTTAATGAAAGGCAACTTTTTACCTATTGATTCTTGTTTCAGGATGCCTTGCCAGTTGGGGTACTTTAGGGGTGGCCTTTAAAAGTTCCAGTCATTCTAGATGTATACTGCTTGACTCACGAATTAATAATCAGAACAATTGTACTCGCTAGTTGAACTGGTTAAAGGTCGGAATGCGGAACATGCTGATGCGGCGGCAGCAGCAGAGACGACAGATTATTTTTCTGATAGTCAGAATGCACCATTGTCTGTCAGAATGCGTCTACGATACATAGACTAGCACATTTAGGAGTCTAATACATGTCTGTGCGTTCCATTCTGTCGCTAATTTCTCTCATTTGCGCACATTGAGTATGCGCACCTGTGGTGGGATCGACACAATTAATGAAATAATTGACAGTGAGTTGCGTTAATCCTGGAATATTTTTATTTCATTGCAAGCACGCCAAATGTCGGAGACTACTGTCGTGCCGGGTCTGATGATTGAGCTAATATTCGGCAGAAGCATGGGGTGGGGCTAATCAGGCCCTAGCAACCTGTTTTTTTATGGTTAACGTACCATACCGCTCACAGCATAACCCCACGTCCATTACTTGAGACATAGTAAACAGGACTAAGTAGGGGATTGCCTGAATCAGGCGAAGTGTGGGGTCGCTTCTGTGTTCTCTGCAGCTGTATACTTTTGCAGCTATGTTATTAACAGCTTCCACAAGTGTACCCCTGTTTCGAACTTGCTGTGAGAGATCGATGAAAGAGAGAGAGGCTGTTTAATGTTGTTAAAAGTTGAATTAGGAATCGAAATCATTGCACTCAGGGCACTTCCATAAGCACTCCGTCCCCATCTTCAGCAGCAAACGAAGAGTTCGAATTCCGATAAGACCAGTAATTGTATGATTGTATATTCGTCTCACCTTCAGTTGGAACATCTACATTTGTATGCTATAGATGACCAGGTACTTTTACGTAAACATTTCCTGAACCTTTGACATCCCTGTTTACTGCTACCTAGATACAAACAAGTCGCTTCGCGCATTTACCAGCTTTCTACTACACACTTATTTTACATTCACATTTAGCAGCAACTTTTTTTTTATTTGGATTTCTTCTCTACAAGTTCATTGATTTCTAT